GGCCCTCTCCTCTGTCCATATCAAACTTGCTTGTGAAGCTGCTAAGACTGAGAAGAAAGCCCTCCCTTGAGGATCTCCAAACATGGCCATGTTCATTTGGTCAGGGGTGAGGAACTGTCAGAGGTTAGGGGGCTTTCCCTCTGTTGCCTCCACTCCTGAAAACAAACAGGAAAAAATGTCTCCCATGTCCAAGGGCCACAGGAGTAATTTTTCTGTGTTTTGGACTCCCTGAGCCATTTTAGGACCAGCAGAATCCTTCCCCCACACACATACTAAGAGGAAGTGGAAGGAAGGTCAATTTCCAGGTCAGTTTTCATTAGAAAAAAGGCATCCTATGCATAAAATGGCTGTGTCCCTCCGAATAGTAAAACTGCCCCATGCCCCCCATGGGTCCCACTTCACCTTGCACTAGGGAGCTAAGTGCCAAGATCCTACATCAGGTCTGTGTACCATAAATCTTCACTTGAGGAGTTATGCATTGACTGTACTAAGCAACTCTTGTGCGGATGGCAATACCATCCACCTGAATGCACACCAAATGCCTAATGGTATCAACATACACAACTCCACTTCCACAAGCTTAAACTGAAAACAGACATTCCATGTTGTACAATGCTTTTGTAGAGGGCCTTACTTGTGCATAAGACACAAAAAGGATTCTGGCCAAGGTTTTTCAGATAGTCTGGGGCCAAGCAATAAAGGCTTTTGTAGCTCATAACCTGCATTTTCCACTGTGCCCATCAGGGGACCGGTTGCCAGTGATGCTTTAGCAATGATGGAATTACTTGTTCCTAAAAAGCCCTGGTTGGCAGTATGGCCATGGCATTTGGGACCCCTGATGTTTCCAAAGGTAGCTCCACACAGTACATTACAGTCATCCAAATGGGATGTAATCAAGGCACGTTATCCTTGGGGGTCCCGGGGACAAATCCAACCATCATAACCCATTCTACAAATCCAGCCCACATGGAAATACCACACGTTCACATAGGGTTGTCCATACAGGCCAAATGGCCTGGTTCCCCCCTGGCCTCGCATCATCTAGTTTAAATAATACAGGCCAAAACACCCATGGCAGGATCAGACCCGATCCTGCCTGTGCAGACACATATCCAGAGGATCTGGTCTAAACATGGGGTAAAGAGCATTTGCCCTGGAATAAAACTTTGCCCTGGTTTCTAAGAAACTCTGGGGCACAACCAAACTATTCAGACAGCCCCCCATGCACCTTACCTTTCTAGTGGGTGATCCATCTGAGAAGCGCAACCATCACTTCATCTGATGCAGAAATAAGGTTCCTGACCGTGCAGGTGCAGCTAGGCATCTGGTTTTCACTTCTCAGATGCATTGCCTGCCAGAAAGAAGCAGCCCTGGGTCCTGGGTCGTTGCACGGACAGTCATCTGAACACCCACCCATTCCCACGCTGACCCAGGGACTAACCCAGATGAGCACAGCGGTCAGGACAGCATGGGCTCAGCCTGTGCTATCCTGCCCCGTCTGCTCAGTCCCAGTGTTTGAGAGACATAAAAGATGAGTGGATATAGCAGTGGAATTTCTTGGTGGGCCATTTTAAAGCGTGCCTAGTTTGTAGCGCATTATTTGCTGTGACTGGGGATGCCAGTGTGGTGTAGTGGTTTGAATGTTGGGCTATGACTCTGGAGATTAGGGGTCGATTCCCCACTCAAGCATAAAAGCCCACTGGGTGACCTTTGAACAAGTCACACTCACTCAGCCTCAGAGGATGGCAATGGCAAACTCCCTCTGAAAAAAACTTGCCAAGAAAACCCTATGATAGGTTTGCCTTAGGTCACCATAAGTAAAAAATGAATTGGAGGCACACAATAACAAAAGAATCAAAGAACTTTTCATGCTTAAAATGATACTGCAATTTCCATCAATTCAGTAAGCATCTGGAAAAAGCTGGATGTCCCCACTGGTGGACCATTGTTAACATGAGACATTGTAATCCAAATGATTCTGTGTTTGTCCCCTCCATCTATCTTTAAACTAAATCAAATCAAATCAAAGAAAGGAGCTCAGCAGTCTAAACAAGAATAAATTTATTTGGGATTGTTTAAAGATTTGTTGATATACAAAATGTATACATTTTAATATCTTAAATACACTTTACTTTTCCTCCCCCAGCGACATAAACCACAATTTAAACAGCTATTGTGTTCGTGCCTTAATGTCTGTATCTATAAGATACACTACAGATTTTTTTAAAAAAGAATTACTGGGCGTTTTATGATGCCTTTCAAATTAAAAATTACACCTTGTACCTATGTAACAAAAAAAAATAGTTGCAGCATGAAACGTCAGTTGGACAACAGGTTCTTCTTGCTGAATATTCAACATATTTGAGACAGGTAAATTACATTTTACTGGCATAAAGTTGCATTGCAATTTCCCATACATTACATAATGTAAATCCAACCCTATTAGATTCTTTTAAATATGTTCCACATATAACATTAAAGGTGTTTTCACACAATAGTAAATAAAACCAAGGGTCCCCTTCTAATGTTACTTTAGGCAGTGGGGAAACCCCAGAGCACAATTCCTAACAGCATTGAAAAGGCTGTTAGAAGGCACTGGTCCCAGGTGAGTGGTCCCCACTTTAGCTCCCACCAGAATTTTCTTCTTTTGGAAATTATGACAACACTGGCCTAGCAAGGAGCCTGAACACTCATCCCATGTGGCCTGGAGCTTCTGGTATTACGTGAGCGGCATGGGAAAAGACTGTTCTACAACAGCACCTATACTGCAGAGGTAACACTAGAAAGGGCCCTACAATGTTCACATGTACATTCAGCATTCATATACTGGTTTTAGGAGATCTTTAGAAGGAAACACTTCTGAAGCAGCCACTACATAACAATAAATAGCACTTCCCTAACACCTGTTCATTTTGCAAGGCAACTTCTTCCAAGACCAGCTTCTATACTATTTTGTTCTGGCACACAAATGTGAATAGACCTGCCCCTGTCTCCCAATCTCTGTGGCTTCACTACTCTAGTTGACAGTGACTTGATGAAATTGAAATGTATGGTTTTGCTTTTGTTATTTTTTTAACAGAGGAGGCTTATAATGCGCAATCCAACACCCCCCAAAAAACAGTTCCACATTTTGGAAACCAAGCACACAGGGTGAATCCTGATGCAGGAGACAAGCCACCACTTTTGATCAGGAACAGTAATCTCTCTTTCCTGCAGCTCTGGCACTAAAGACAGACAGACCCTTAAGAGCAGTTGAGTTGCATGGAGCCACATAAAGCATACATGGCACTGAGCAGACAGAGTGTTACAACACCCTGAGAAGAGGCAAAGAATCCTTCGGTATCTATGGGACTGAGTGGGGAGAGGGTCTCTTTCCCATATCTCTAGCCAGATGACAGAAACCAGCTGCCAAAAAGCCCAAAATAATCTGCCTTAAAACCAGCAAAACTGAAAACATCATTTGGTAAGGGCAGACAGGATGAAAGGGCATATTGCACTATAGGTGAAGGAAGGGGGAGAGATCCTCTCCCCCCACCATGGACCAAGATAAAATGTAAATATATCCTTCCGCTAAAATGCCTCTTTTAAAAAAGCTATTTCATAAATACTTAATTCCATTCAACCTTTTAAAAAAGGAAAAATATCACCTGCTGTCAGCTATTCCCCCCAGGTGATTCTCACATTTTGCTGTGCCCATCTAGCATGGGTCACTTTACTACTGTGGAGCCATCAAACCCTGTGGTCCTTATTCATGTGTCCTTTTTTTGTTTCGTTTTGATGAAGCATTCTGCCAGGTGGCAGTGGAGGAGAGAGGAGGTGGAGAGAACCCTGCGGCTTCTGTGAACATTTGGTTAAAGCCAGTGAGCAGCATTACAGAATCAAGTGACTGGAACTGGCTGAGTCAGATTCTTTGGTGCAGCTCCCAGGCTGAATAGTCAGTTCTGGAGAATCATCTTGAGGCAGCAGGATTTTATCAGGTGTGTAGTCATTTCTCTTCAAATCTACAAACAAAAAACAAACACCCACAATATTCAAAAAAGGGTGGACAAAGAATATGCATTTATACATGAGCAGGGAAAGGGTGTGTAGCCCATGCTGTATATGGGACTCCTTCCAGCATAGCAACTGCAAGGAATTCTATTTAGTCCATAAGGTTTGCACTGCAGATCACATTTTCACAAACTGGAATTAGTTTTTGATTTTGACACCCACTCATTTGGTTTGGTAATTATAATGCTGATTTTTTTAAGGACTGTTAGCTAATTTGTCTACATGCTCCTCTGTCCAGTAAAACAGAGACTGACAGAAGTGTGTGTTTGCTGCAGAAAAAAACATCTTCCTTATTTTCTCTGTTCCTAAGATTTATACGTAGTTAAAGTCAGACAACCTTAACAGTGTCCACAGGTTTTCAACTGCCCTGTGTAAACAAATAAGACAAACAACATTGTTAGTAGCAAATGAAATTTTCATTTGGTGAAGAGGTAAAGCCAAAAGCTGGGCGAGCCTGGGTAGAACCAGACAAACGTAGCTCAAGAAATGCTGGAGGATGGACTATAAGTATGAAAGCAATAAAGAGCAAAAATGAACCTAGAAATGAGTGATGGTGGTGGTGATGTTTTCTTAAGCTTCAAACCTGGTGAAATAGATGTTTTCTTAAGACTACATATATATTTTTGGAGGGTCTATTTAATAACAAATGGAAGCTACAAGAGAGAAACTGTTTTCCATAAATGAGAACCAATGTTACCTGGAAGCTTCAGTTTCCTGCAGCATGAGTTGCAGTGGTGCTTAGCTCTGAAGTTTTTGATGGCATCTTCTCCTAGATTTGCAGGACCAAATACCATATCATTTGACCTTTAAAATAAAGAACACTATTAAATACTTATAGCCAAACATGTAAAATTCCTTGTATTTTATACAATTCCTTGTATTTTATTTACACACACACACATATATATGTTATTATACTTTTAACTTTCCTGTAATTTGTACCGAATTTTTAGTTTGTTTTACTCTTTTTTGAGTTATCATGATATGTCCTAAGGGCTAATCAATAAAAGATTGATTGATTGATTGATTGAGAACCTGACACCATGCAAAATATGTGGGAACTTCTGCTTATGGAAAGTACACTTTATACCAGTTAACAAGGAAGTGTTACCCCAAGTGCTCTAGTGATAGTGCCACTGTTGTTTGTAAAGTCTGATGGTTCCCATGGTATGACTGCCACAACTATTTTAATATTAGGGTGGCAAGCCAACACAATCATAAATCTGTTGTCTAATGAATGAGTAGGGCTAAAATTAATGGGTAAACCATCATTTGTGCCCTGTTTCCTATGCTAAATGAAAAAAGGAACTTTGTACTGCTTACCTTTTTTCTTCAGCTTTTATCACAGAGGGATCTGTCAAATTTTCTCCAACACCTTCACAAGAAACAGGGGAAGTTCGAAATATGATAAGCTCCTATGTCTATAGTCAGCAACAGATATACAAAGCAGCACTTTCCAATCCAAGAGCCACAACAGTAACTTTTTAAGTCAAATTTTGTTTTCAATATACAAAATAAGTAAAACCAACAAAACACACCACACCAACAACCAAACAACCAAACCAACCATATATAAGTAAAGATGGTTAATAGTTCTACATTCTTACATTCCTCACATCTCTATCACACCCAGGAAAATTTAGTCCAACATTAACTGACATAAGACACTCATTCATATCCCAATCCTAACCTCCTTTTCTTCAGCCCTTGTTCTATTTCTCAATCTTTGTGGTTTAGCTATCTCTGTAAACATAGAATATTGTTTATCTTAACGATAAATAATATGTAATAAAATTGTTTATCCTACAGTTTTGTGTACATTTCCCCTCTGTAATTTCCATTAATCTCTACATTACAATACTATTACAATACTATTGAAACTTCTACATCCTCTCTCTCTCTTGCTTTTCCTTACTTTCCTCTTTTTCCTTTCATTTTATCCTTTTACAATTCCAATTATGACTATGGGATAGAATTTATGGGATAGAAATTCTCATACTTTATTTCAGTCTTCCCAATATGGATCCAACCTTTCATTTTGTCAACATCTAGTTTATCCATCTCTATGACATCAAATAGCTTCACAAATCATTCTTCCATTAATGGTATTTTCTCTTTTTTCCAGGATTTAGCGTAGACCATTCTTGTTGGCATTAACATATGAAATAAAATTCATCTGTATTTTTTCTATTTGTTCCTCTATCATGTTTAGTATAAAGGTTTCAGGTTTAAATTTTATATTAATCTATAGAATTTTATTAATTATACGACAGGTTTGAATGCAATATTTTTTGCTTCACCATATATCCAGCAAATGTGATACAATATGCCTTTTTCTTTACAGCACTTCTAACATCTATTGCCATAGTTACCATAAATTTTACATATTCTTTCGGGAGTCAAGTAGCATCTGAAAAATATTTTATAATAGTTTTCTTTAAGGTCTTGACACACTATATTCCTTAATCTTTTTAACCAAGTTGTTTCCCAGTGATCTAATTCCAGGGGGTAGCCAAAGTTCTGTGACCATCTTATCAAGTTCTTTTTTATAGTCTTATCTTCCATATATGTTTTAAGAGGCATTGGTATAGTTTTGACAATGTTGCTTTATCATTGGACAAAAATATATTTTCTTTTTC